GCACCACTGGTGGCACCTCGCTCTGCGGCAGGCCGTCTAGGTCCGAAACTGCCTTGAGAGGTCGACGCTGCCGCCGGGGACGACGCCGTACCAGCTGCTGACCAGGAAGAAGCCCGACTTGTCGCTGGCGCGGGTGTGGGGCTGCATGGCGCAGTTCCTTGTCCCTGAGCAGCAGCGTGGTGGGAAGCTGAAGCCGAAGGCCAGGTGGGGCCTGCACCTCGGCGTGTCAGCGGCGAGCAAGGGCTGGGAGCTCCTCGACGTCAACACCGACCGAGTGGTCACCACGTCGGACGTGGTGTTTTACGAGGAGATGTCGCTGGCCGAGTGGAAGACGGACCATGGGCCGGTATCCGGCCGCTCGCCGTCCACCTCGCCCTCTGACACCTCGTCAGCGACGCTGCCGCTGCTTGCCGAGGTTGGTGAGCTTGCTACTGAGGACGTTGAGGACGTCCACAACCCTACCCCTCACCCTCTGACCCCTAACCCTCCCCTCGTGACCGACCTGCGTGGGCTGACCTCGGTGTCGACCTCCGGCGATGAGGGGAGTCGTGGGACGCCGCCTTCGGCGCCGGCCAATTGCATCGCCGGTGGCCGACGTGACGAGCGGCAAATCGACGTGGGATTTCAGTCGACAAGGGAGCAGGCTGCCGTGAAGCCGACCACGGAGCAGTCGGTGACCGGGCCGTCGGCAGGGGAGCCGACCACAGGGGAGAAGTCGGCTGGGAAGCCGACCACAGTGGAGCAGTCGGCTCGAACGCCGGCTGAGGAGCAGCAGGACGCCGAGGGTGATGACGACAACGACGATGGAGGGGATGACGAGGAAGTCCAGCCGGGACCACGGCGTTCAGGCCGACTTCGTAGGCCGCCTGACTTCTTCGTCCCCGCTGCCTTCACCACGGTGTATGACGTGGACGATGACGACGACCTGCTGTACGATGGCGCCGAGGATGATGAGGAATTTCCGGAGCTCGACCCCGACATGCTAGCCGACCCCGAGCACCGTTGGGACATCTCGACGATGACGGTGAAGGAGGCGTTGACGAGCTGGAAGGGCCCGGCGGTGAAGGCCGCCATGGAGGAGGAGATTCGCAGCCTCATCAACATGGGCACTTGGGAGCTGGTCGAACGCCCGCCGGGGGTGAACGTCATGAAGAACCGGTGGGTGTTGACGACGAAGTACCACATCGACGACACCGTCGAGCGAGAGAAGGCGAGGCTGGTCGTGAAGGGCTTCACACAGGTGTACGGCGCCGACTACGACGAGACGTTCGCGCCGGTGAGCAGCTACGTTACGTTGAGGATCTTCCTCAGCATCGTTGCTGTCCTCAACCTCAACCTGATGCAGCTCGACATGAAGAACGCCTTCCTGCAGAGCAAGCTCGATCGGGTGCTGTACATGTCCCAGCCGGACTACTTCAACGACGGAACCGGCCGAGTGTGCAAGCTGCTAAAGAGCCTGTACGGGCTGAAGCAGTCTCCGCTGTTGTGGTACTTGGCGCTCAACGATGTGCTGGTCGGCGCCGGGTGGAAGAAGAGCCAGGTCGACGAGGCTCTTTACTTCAAGGTCGGCGTGGGTGGAGTGGCCTGCTGGGTGCTAGTCTACGTCGACGACCTGCTTGCCGCCAGCAGCAGCGCCGCGATGCTGAAGGAGCTGAAGGAGCTGCTGGAAGCCGCCTTCGAGCTGCGCGAGATCTCGCCGGTGCAGAAGTACCTCGGGCTGGAGATCGTGCGCGACAGGTCGGCGGGGAAGCTGTGGCTGCACCAGCAGGGCTACGCCGACAAGCTGCGTAGGCGTTTCCTCGACGAGGAGCAGACCGGGTGCACCCCGAAGACGCCGGTCTCGGTCGGTGACTACGCCGAGCTCACCTTCGATGACGAAGAGGCGCAGGAACGGCAGGAGGAGGAGTACCGGCAGAAGGTCGGCTCGCTGCAGTTCGCGGCGACGACGACGAGGCCGGACATCGCCTTCGCCTGTAGCAAGCTGGGGAGCGGCCTCACGGTGAGGAGCGACCAGCACTGGCGCGAGGTCGACCGCTGCCTCGCCTACCTCGCCAACACGCGTGACACTGCCCTGGAGTTCGGCGGTGGACCTGAGTCGCTGGACGTGAGTCGCTGCTTGGTTACGTGGACGCCGACGACGCCGGTGACAAGCAGAACAGGACGAGCACGAGCGGCTACATGTTCGTCTACAGAGGGGCTGCAGTCTCCTGGTCGAGCCAGCGCATCAAGTGCGCGACGTTGTCGTCGACCGAGTCGGAGTACGTGGCGGCCACAGAAGCTGGCAAGGAGGGACGCCGCCTTCGCTTCCTCCTCGCAGAGTTCCGGCAGCTGGACGCCGGGAAGCCGACTGTCCTGCGCGTGGACAACAAGTCGGCCATCACGGTCGCCGAGGGCATGGGGTTGAGGGGCAACCTCAAGCACATGGAGCGGCGACAGGCCTGGCTGCAGCACATGGTGAAGCGCGGGAAGTTCTCGCTGCAGTACATCCCAACCGCTGAGCAGCCGGCCGACTTCCTGACGAAGGCGCTGCACTATCCGGCCTTCAACCGGTGCTCCGTCGCAATCGGCCAAGTGCGCCTGGCAGACGTGGGCGACGGCGACAACGATGTGCTGCAGTAGGTGCCATGCCCTCTTGCATGGCTGGTGCGGTGACCGGCGTGCTGTGTGTTGGGTGCACGCCGACGGGCTATTCTCGGAGTTGTACTGCCGTATGGGGTGGGGACCCAAGCGTGAACGCGGCAGGGGAGTGTAAACGGGGGTTGTGTGTTGGCCCCGTCCTCGCTTGGGCGGAACCAACATCGTGGTCGGGTGTGAGGGGAACAGCCGACCTACAGCAGTGGGCGAGTTGGTTGACGAGGAGGTTGACCTGCATGAGGACCACTGCACTAGCGCCGACTTCAGGGTGGCGCCGACTTCGGGGAGGTCGACTTGGGAGTCGACCTGCGGATGACGTCAACTTGGGGAAGCCGACTTCGGTGGTCGGCTGATGGACCGCTGGTCGACCTGGGGGTGGTCGACTGGACCTGGTGGTCGACGAAGGAGGGGCCGACGTCGACCTCGATTTAGGACGCCGAGCAGCTGGGCGCCGAGTAGAGGGGCGTCAACTTCGTGACGCCAACTTCGGGTGGCCGACGTGGGTGGTCGGCCGACGACTATGCTGGTCGACGCAGAGCTGGTCGACCAGAAGGGACGTCGACCTGGAAGAGGTCAACTGATGGAGGTGGTCGTCGACTTGGGAGGTCGACGGGCACGTACCGGAGTTGCTGGTCGACGTGGTTGCCCGGTCGACCAGGTTACCTGGGTGACGAAGTGCTGCGGAGGAGTGCGATGGTCGCCCAGGCGAAGTTGGCGAGCCCGACCTTGGTGGTGGTATCCCGAGGTCGACGTGGCCGATCAGAGGCAGTCGTCACCTCGAGGTTGACGTGGTGGGTGCGCTGTGCAGGTGACGAGATACTGCACGCCAATCATCTGCGCGCACCTGCGAAGTGGGTGCATTGCTGTCCTGCGTGAGCAAAGCTGGCACGCCGTCAACCTGCGACGTTGGCACACCATTGACCTTGCCTTGCTGGAGTGCGGTCGACCAAGTCGTGCTGGAACGCGGTCGACCAAGCTGCGCTGGCAGTTGGCCGACCTGAATGCTTGCTCTGATGTAGTCTTGCTATGCCAACTTCATTGTATCATTGTTCTGAACTTTTCTTAGTGAAACTCTTGCCAACTTTCCCTGTGAACTAGCAAGTAGTGTATGCACAAGGAAAACGACTAAGGACTAACGAACGCAGAGATCACACGAGCACACGTGCCTAGCCCGTAGTCTATCTCCCGTTGCAGCAGTTATCTCCGCAGCCAGCACCATCCACCTCACCAAAAAAGCTGTCTTCCATGGTCGCTCCCAGCATATCAAGCTCCGACACTACTTCGTCTGCGACCTTGTCCAAGATGGCCATATTACCGTGCGCAAGATTGACTCATCCTCCAACCCCGCCGACATATTCACTAAGGCCCTTGACCGCACTACTCACTCGGCAATCTTGCCCCTCCTGGGCCTTACTGACCATGGTGACTGATTCAGGGGTTGATGTCTTATCTCCTCCAGGGTTATGGATCTTTGCAGGCTAAGGGGTTGTGTTATATTATACTAGTCGTCTGTATCCTGCATTGATCCTATAAACCCTAGGATAGAGATAGGCACCCAAACTATGTTTGGGTGCACAACTAGGGTTAACCCTAGTTGGGGGTTGGAACCCAACCTTGGTCCAATAATTGGCCCCCAAGGTTGGGTTAGGAGATTATTGCCCCCCCCCAATAATGTTGGCTTACCTTGACCAACATTATTGGGACCTCTCAATAATTCTCCAAGCCAACTTATTGGTGGGGGGCCAATAGTGTTGACTAGGTACCCAACCAACCCCCCCTTCCCTAGATCCAACTATGTAAACCCGTAGCATTCCTAATCAAGCTATCGGTTCAATTCTAACAGCTTACCCACACATCCCTTCCCCTCCCTCCCCTTCTCCCCATGCCCCCCCTCCTCCCTCCCGACCCCCCACGTCCCTCCCCCTCCCCTCCCTCCCTCACCCCGCATCTACTGCCCATCAAACCTGGTTGCGGACGAGGGCGCGGAAGGGGCTGACGACGAGGGTGACGCCCCCCAGCAACACGGCGGCGAGCTGGAAGCACAGGCTCTTGCCGCTGCCCGCCGGCAGCACCGCCAGCACATTGCTCACCTTGACCAACATTATTGGGACCACCCAATAATTCTCCAACCCAACTTATTGGTGGGGGGCCAATAATGTTGACTAGGTACCCAACCAACCCCCCCCCTCCCTAGATCCAACTATGTAAACCCGCAGCATTCCTAATCAAGCTATCGGTTCAATTCTAACAGCTTACCCACAAATCCCTTCCCCTCCCTCCCCTTCTCCCCATGCCCCCCTTCCTCCCTCCCTACCCCCCACGTCCCTCCCCCTCCCCTCCCTCCCTTCCCCCGCATCTACTGCCCATCAAACCTGGTTGCGGATGAGGGCGCGGAAGGGGCTGACGACGAGGGTGACGCCCCCCAGCAGCACGGCGGCGAGCTGGAAGCACAGGCTCTTGCCGCTGCCCGCCGGCAGCACCGCCAGCACATTGCTCGGCGGCCGCGCTAGTAGCGCTCGGATGATCTGTTGGGCGGGCGGGGGGGGGGGTGGGGAGGGCGGAGGGGGGAGGGTGAAGGGGTGGGGGTAGTTGGGGGGGAGGAGAGGAGAGAGAAAGTGTGGTGTCGCGCTTAGGGTTGAGCAAAAAAACGAACACCTGTTCGGTTCGCCTCGAACACGTTCGAGGCGAACCGAACAGGTATTTTTTTTTTGGCTTAAAATGTTCGCCGAACAGTGTTCGATGTTCGCCCGAACACGTTCGTGTTCGGGCCGCTGCTGCAATTTGCCCGCGACGAACACGAACAGTGTTCGAGGTTCGCCCGAACACGCCTTCACAGGCGAACGGCGAACACCATTTTTTGCTCAAAGTGTTCGCCGAACCGAACAGTGTTCGGTTCGGCAAACGAAGGTGTTCGTGTAGGGGCGAACACGAACACGTTCGTGTTCGCCACTTGCTCATCCCTAGTCGCGCTATTAACACTTAGCCGCAAGCTAAGTGTGAATTGCACAGCAGCTAAGGTAATGTTGTGCTATATTCTGTTTGTTTGTATTCTAATGTCTTTCGTGTGCTTGGAATGTACTGTACTGTCCGAATTTCAGAGCCGAGTAGCTGAGGGATTTCGAGGTGGTTGGTGGGAGGCGAATTCAAGGTGGATGGTGGGAGGCGAATTCAAGGTGGATGGTGGGAGGCGAATTCAATTCCAGCCTGTGAATTCAATTTCGAAGTCACCAGGCTGGAAGGCGGTGCATGCCTAGCTAGCCCAGTGGGAACCAGCTAGCACCTTGGAGCCCTCGCGAGCAGCTCGGCTGACTCGCTTGGTGCACAGGAGCTTGCTTGTGGAGGAAGCAACCTAGGCAGGAGGCGAGAGTAGATGTAGGCAGGAGTAGCACTCGGACTCCTTGCTTTTTGCTTGTTTGTTTCTCTTAATACTGCAATTCGTTTCCCAACCAAGGAAGCAAGCAGCTAGGAGAAGCTAACAGCAAACTGACGGAGCCCTTGCGAGGGAGGATTTACCCCACTTCTCCACCAGGGTAGCCTGAGACACGGGCAGCAGGGAACTACGGAGGCAGGGAACAGGAAGCAGGAAACTAAGGAGTGAAAGGAAAGCGGAAGGTGTTACAAGGCAAGGATTAAGTCCAGCGGGGAAGTACTTCACGACAGTGGGTGAGAACAGACACAGAGAGGGTTTCAGACAGGAGAAAGGAGAGTGGGGAGAGGGTTTGGAGAGGAGGGAAGGGGCCTGAATGAGGGTGGGTGGCACGTGACACTTGAAAGGAGGCACTAGAGGGATGGGAAGAGAGAGGTCGAACAAAAGGCAGGTGAGGAGGCATGAAGGTGGAAAGGAACGGGAGCGTGAATCATGATGGCAAGAAAGGACAATAATAAAAGGGAGTAGGATGAACGCCATCAAGCAGAGCCATGTTTCCGTTTTGCAGAATTATAATTTTGCAGGTGGAATCGAACCAATAACGGATCCACCTTACAAGAGCCACAGTGCCGGACAATAGCAAGTAACATCAGACGACTGAGAATATGTGATCCATCCATCTACACTTGTGCAACTGGCCGCTCTTACCTCAAGTTGGTGTGGGTTGAATGGGCCCTGGATGCCAAACACTTGCTCCTTCACCGCATGGATCTCCGCATCCCTGCCATGCCTGCCACTGCCTCGCACACCATGCACACCACCCACGCCATCACCACCCACTGCACCAGCGGCAGAGGAGCAAAAGGCTCTATTGCCCGCAGAGCCTTGTGCCATTGGTGTACCATACATGTCATCCACGCCTTGCGTGGCCCCATAGATGGGTCCCACTGTGCCCCTTCCACCAAACTGATCTGCCTGCCGCTGGTGCTGATAATGATGTTGCTGCTGCTGTGGCTGATACTGATGTTGTTGGTGCTGCTGATATTGATGTGCCTGCTGCTGCTGCTGCTGCTGCTGCTGCTGCTGCTGCGGCTGCTGCTGCTGCTGCTGCTGCTGCTGCTGCTGCTGCTGCTGCTGCTGCTGATACTGAAATGGCTGCTGCTGCTGCTGCTGATACTGATGTGGCTGCTGCTGCTGCTGCATATGCACATTGTGTGAGCGAACATAGTGGTGATGGTTCCATGGATAGGTCGGCTGTTGTGCTGCGTGTACATGCAGCTGCTGCACCCGCATGTGCTGCTGCTGTAGGCCCTGCTGAGGCATGGGCTGTGTTTGCTGCTGCTGTCGAAGCACCTCCTGAATAAGCTGCTGCTGTTGTAGCTGCTGGTGTTCCTGCTGCTGCCGCTGCTGCTCTTGCTGCTGCTGCTGCTGCCGCTGCTGTTGCTGCTGCACCTGCTCCGTTTTCTCCTGCTGGCGTTGCTGCTGCAGCTCCTGTTGAGGGGACAGCTGCTCTTCATTCTGTTGCTGTTGCTGCGTTGCACTGCACTCCTGCTGCTGCTGCTGCTGCTGCTGCTGCTGCTGCTGCTGCTGCTGCTGCTGCTGCTGCTGCTGCTGCTGCTGCTGCTGCTGCTGCTGCTGCTGCTGCTGCTGCTGCTGGTATTGCTGCTGTTGCTGCTGCATAACTTGCTCCTGCGGCAGCTGATGAATCTGCTGCTGGTATTGCTGCTGTTGCTGCTGCATAACTTGCTCCTGCGGCAGCTGATGAATCTGCTGCTGCTCCACTAACTGTTTCTGCTGCCGCTGCTGCTCCTGTTCCTGCAACACCTGCTCTTGACTCTGTAGCTGCTGCTGCTGGTATTGCTTGTGCTGCTCACTAGCATGCCGTTGCTGTTCTTTCTTCTGCTGCTCTGGCTCTTGCAGCTGCTGCTGCAAGAGGTCAGCAAAGAGAGGAGGAGACAGCGAACGAGGAGGAAAACGAGCCGAAAAATCGTGTGCGAGAGGCAGTGGAAGAGAGGACGGAGTCTCACTGGCAACGCAAGGAAGACCAAGGACAACCAGTCGTGGCTGCTGCTGCTGCTGGTGCGGTTGATGCTGCTGCTTCTGTTGCTGGCTTTGCTCCATCTGCTGTTGAGTTTCATACTTCTGCTGCTGCTGGTCCTGCTGCTGCTCCTGCTGTCCCTGCTGCTGCCGCCGCTGCTGCTGCTGCCCCTGCTGCTGCCCCTGCTGCTGCTGCCCCTGCTGCCCCTGCTGCCCCTGCTGCCCCTGCTGCCCCTGCTGCCCCTGCTGCCCCTGCTGCCCCTGCTGCCCCTGCTGCCCCTGCTGCTGCTGCTGCTGCTGCTGCTGCTGCTGCTGCTGCTGCTGCTGCTGCTGCTGCTGCTGCTGCTGCTGCTGCTGCTGCTGCTGCTGCTGCTGCTGCTGCTGCTGCTGTTGCTGCTGCTGTTGCTGTTGCTGCTGCTTCTCTTGCTGCTCTTGCTGCTGCTGTTTCTGCTGCCGTTCTTCTGACAGCAGCACCAGCGGGGCGGAAGGGGAAAACGGCTGCAAGGGTGAGAGCGATTGGATCTGCGGAGACTGATCGCTGTCCCCCCCCTCCTCCTCCTGCTGCCCGCTCTCGCTCTGCCTGTACCGCTGCTGCGCCCTTGGCGGGCGGCATAACTGGGGCTGGGGTGTGCACACTGACGGGGCAAAGCACGCTGACTCCTGCTCGCCTTTCTCCCCCCCACACTCATTCTGCTGCGATCCCAGCTCCTGTTGCTCGTGCGACTTCTGTTGCCCTGACTCGTGCTGCTGCTTCTGCTGCTGCAGTGGCAGGGCCTTCTCATCCGACCCAGCCACTTGCCCCTGCTGCTTCTGCTGCTGCTGCTCCTGCCATGCGTGCACGGGTCGCAGCGACTGATCCCCGTCGCCCTCACCGTCGCCTGCTACGGCGGGGACGCTTGCCGTGTGCTGCTGCTCCGACTGCAGGCGCTGCTGCTCCGCGCGCAGTTGCTCTGCGTCACACGTGGGGGGGGGAGGGGAGGAAGAGGGCGGGGGAGAAGGCGGGGTTGGGGGGGAACGGGGGAAGAGAGGAGAGCAGGGAAGGCAAGGGGAGAGGGGGTCGCGGGACAGGGAGTTAGGGCAGGTCGCGCCGAGTACGCCACTAATCGAACTGTTATGCTATAACGAGAGCCTCGTTACTGTCGCTCACCTCAACTCCCTACCCGATTTCATCTAACCGTGTTCGTCCCTCGCTTTCTCTCACCCGCATCCCCTCCCCTTCGCCCTCCCAAACCCCCAATCTCGTCTCTCAACTCCTTGTCATTCTCCCTACTCCTCGCCCCCGTCCTCCCTCGCGCCCTCCCGCGCGGAATCTGCCTGGAAGTTTCCCATCGTGCTTACCCTCCAGTGCGAGCTTCTGCTGCAGAAGCTGCTGAATGAAAGCGTTTCGCTCCATCGCGCAACGGTCGCTAACCACACCACAAGCCGCGAATGCCGCAGAGTCGCCGCGCGCTCGCTTGTCCGCGCTTCTTCGCAGACTCGCCTTCGGAGTCACCTAAATTTCGCTGGAACGAGCTGAAACATTGCCAGGAAGTATTGGATATGTAAACGATACGCCAAAGTCACCCTAGCGGGGTGACCTCAAACTTCACACCAAGAGCCCTGCGGATTGCCTCCGATGGTTCGTGACAGCAGCGAAGTGGTACAGTAATACACACTCGTGGCGTTTCAGTAAACAGAAGCTGTCCAATCAGGTTGGCGCAAAGTTCGTTGGAACCAGCGGGGTACTTCCCAGACTTGGAAGGGAAGTTCGGCTGCAGCTGGGCCCTGTTCTGTTGCCGCACCACTTGGTGCGGTCACCTCCGCACAGCACCAGATTGATGCTTCTTCTGGGCTTCGACCGGAGATCCTAGGAGCTTCATTTACGGGGGCGTATTCCTTAATACCAGGCTCGGGAAACTGAACCTCTTCCCGGACCTAAGGGTGCATCAGATCCGTTGGAACAATCCGGCCGGCCGGAATTAGCGAAGGTAACACATTCGCGACATCCGCAAAGGTTTTCAGACAGTTCGCCAAATCCAGCCATTTGTAAAAAAATTGATGGCCAGTTCAGCATTCGACAAAGTTCCGACGTGCAGTCGACTCGAAAGTCGACCAATTTGTTGACCTGAGATCGCTACAGTCACTACGCGACGTCGCCAACTCGTGTGACGCAATGTGTCACACAAGTACTGCATCTGCGACTCCGTCGCACAATCCGGCGACCCTGGCGAACTGCAAATCTGACACATTTGCAAAGCGGCCATCAAATGGGCCACCAAATGTGTCAGATTTTTGGGCCCTGTAAATGTGGCCGGATATTGGTCGTTATTGAAGTCGACTATATTGTCGACTTTTGCGAAAGATATAGTCGACCAAATTGTCGACTAAATTCCGGCCAAATCACATTGTAACGGATCTGACGCGCCCTAACGAGTGCAGTGCAGTCCGTCCGCCCAAAACAACGGTGAACTAGTGCAGCAAAAGTGAACCCCCGCTCCGAAAAATGGGTGCAGGGCTGGTGCGGCCCTGGTTCCCTCTCAGAGGGGGGATCAAGGGTTCGCACCAAGTGGTTCAGGGCAGGGGAAAATGTTTTTCTTTGTTCTGGTTGGTCCGTTTGCTTTCAGGTCATCCCACCATCCAATAGTTGGTGGCGAGAAGAAGATCGACGGTCTGCGATAGAAAAAACAAGGCTCGACGATGAACGCCGTAAGGGTTGCGTAGAAGTTGAATATCGTACTAATAATAAATGCAGCACCATTATAAAAAATCTTTTGTTAGTTTGTTTTTTCATCTTCTTAGGTATGTCCGTATCCTTCTTCCGTTACATTTGCTTCTCTATCTCACACATAATGCTCAATTATGTGGAATTACGATTAAATAATATCAGCATGTACTATGTGGTTATTTATGGTGTAGATCTGACTCTGCTATTATGGGGAACGTGCGCTTCGTTTTCGCTTTCGTCTCGTTTTGTGGAGCTGACGCAAACTGCACATGAAATGTACAGTAGTGCATCAGCTGAGTCAGCTGAATTTCACGAGCTCACACACATGTGAAACCACCTCGATAACCCAACCCAACCCAAGAACAAGAAACTAGTTCTTTCCAGTCACGCTAGTACCGTCACGCTAGTACATCATGCTACCGCTAGTACCTCCCGGATTACCCCGTACTACCTCACGCCAATACCTCACGCTAGTACGAGCATCAGCTCTTTATTCTCAAGCGCACGTGACCATGAAACCGCTCGTGGAAAACGCCCCTGCAAGCGCCCGTGACTAACGACATGTTTCGTGAGTACAAGAGTGATAGGCGCGTTAAGTGTGTCGAAATATTTTGTCATGTTTTATAACTGCTTGTAGTTGTAGTTAGTGTAGTTATGTAAACTGTTGGTGGTGGTGCACCTTATTTGGTTTCTATGCTATATGTACCCTTGAACCTATAGTGAAACCATCTTCATTCTCCAATTTCCCCTCTCAACTCACTCGACACCTTGCATAGGTAAAAACCCGCTCGATACCTAAGTTCGGGCCTAGGCTACTAAGCCTAGGCCCCACCTCTTAACTCACTTATTCTCTTGACATGGTATCAGAGCATTTCTACGACTTGGCCTGTGTGCCCGCCTTACGCTTCCGCGATGAGTTTTCGGTCGCGCGCCTAGGGCGCGTGACGATTTTTTAATTAGTCCCGCCCACGGGTGTGTGGCTCCTTCTCTGCCCGTCGCGCGCCCCGTGGCACGCGACGGTGCCCTTCATCTGCCCATCGTGCGCCCCGTGGCACACGATGGTGCCCTGCTCGTCGTGCGCCCCTAGGCGCACGATCGGGCCTGTTTTCTTCTTCTACCCGTCGTGCGCCCCGTGGCACTGGCCCGCGACGGGCCTTTCCGCCCCTGCACTCCCTGGAGCCGCCCCTGACCCATCTGCACCGATGCCTTTTCGCCGCTCTGCGGCTTTCTTCCTTCCCACCCCCTCCTCCTTTGTCTCCCTGCATCCGTGGGGAGGAGGGTATGTGGGTGGAGGGTGTTGGAGTGTGGCGTCACCTCTCTCCCTTCCCCTCCTCCTTCTTTCAGTCCCACCGCTGCAGCTGCCGCTGGGGGGGGAGGGTGTGAGGATGTGGGGGAGCAGGGGGAGTGGTAACGGGGTGGCGGGTGTGAGGCAACATGCAGCCGTCCCTCCACCTCTCCTCTCTTCCCCCCCTTCTCTGCTGCTCCTGCAGCAGTGTGGGGGAGGGGAAGGAGGAGGGTGAGGAGACGGAAGGGGTACCTGCTGTTGCTTGCTATGCTGGAACTACACATCTACCTACAAGCATTATGGGGGCGTGTCGAAATATTTTGTCATGTTTTATAACTGCTTGTAGTTGTAGTTAGTGTAGTTATGTAAACTGTTGGTGGTGGTGCACCTTATTTGGTTTCTATGCTATATGTACCCTTGAACCTATAGTGAAACCATCTTCATTCTCCAATTTCCCCTCTCAACTCACTCGACACCTTGCCTAGGTAAAAACCCGCTCGATACCTAAGTTCGGGCCTAGGCTACTAAGCCTAGGCCCTACCTCTTAACTCACTTATTCTCTTGACAAAGTGCTAGGTGGTCATTGTCAACCTTTGGCGCCTTAAACGCTGGCACCTTGCCGCCATGAGCAATGGCACCTTGGTGCCTTCAACGCTGGCGCCTTGGCGCCTTAATCGCTGGCGCCTTGGCGCCATGAGCGCTGGCGCCTTTGCGCCTTAAACGCTGGCGCCTTGGCGCCTTAATCGCTGGCGCCTTGGCGCCATGAGCCCTGGCGCCTTGGCGCCATGAGCGCTGGCGCCTTTGCGCCTTAAACGCTGGTGCAATGGCGCCTTAAACGCTGGCGCCTTGGCGCCTTAAACGCTGGCGCCTTTGGCGCCTCAAACGCTGGCACCTTGGCGCCTTAACGCTGGCGCCTTGGTGCCTAAATCGCTGGCGCCTTGGCGCCGTGAGCGCTGGCGCCTTGGCGCCTTAAACGCTGGCGCCTTGGCGCCTTCATTGCTGGCGCCTTGGCGCCTTAATTGCTGGCGCCTTGGCGCCATAATTGCTGGCGCCTTGGCGCCTTAATTGCTGGCGCCTTGGCGCCATGAGCGCTGGCGCCATGAGCGCTGGCGCCTTGGCGCCTACGCTGGCGCCTTGGCGCCTTAATTGCTGGCGCCTTAATTGCTGGCGCCTTGGCGCCATGAGCGCTGGCGCCTTTGCGCCTAAATCGCTGGCGCCTAACGCGCTGGCGCCTAACGCGCTGGCGCCTTGCAGCCCGCTGGCGGCTTGTGCGCTGCTGCCTTGTTGCGCACGCTCACGCATTGCTGCAGTGAGCTCACGCGTTGCTGCAGTGAGCTCACGCGTTGCTGCAGTGAGCTCACGCCTTGCTGCAGTGAGCTCACGCCTTGCTGCAGTGAGCTCACGCCCTGCTGCAGTGAGCTCACGCCCTGCTGCAGTGAGCTCACGCGTTGCTGCAGTGAGCTCACGCCTTGCTGCAGTGAGCTCACGCCTTGCTGCAGTGAGCTCACGCCTTGCTGCAGTGAGCTCACGCCCTGCTGCAGTGAGCTCACGCCCTGCTGCAGTGAGCTCACGCCTTGCTGCAGTGAGCTCACGCCCTGCTGCAGTGAGCTCACGCCTTGCTGCAGTGAGCTCACGCCTTGCTGCAGTGAGCTCACGCCTTGCTGCAGTGAGCTCACGCCTTGCTGCAGTGAGCTCACGCCTTGCTGCAGTGAGCTCACGCCCTGCTGCAGTGAGCTCACGCCTTGCTGCAGTGAGCTGACGCCCTGCTGCCGTGAGCTCGCGCGTTGCTGCAGTGAGCTCACGCCTTGCTGCAGTGAGCTCACGCCTTGCTGCAGTGAGCTCACGCCTTGCTGCCGTGTGCTCAGGCCTTGCTGCAGTGAGCTCACGCCTTGCTGCCGTGTGCTCAGGCCTTGCTGCAGTGAGCTCACGCCTTGCTGCCATGTGCTCAGGCCTTGCTGCAGTGAGCTCACGCCTTGCTGCAGTGAGCTCACGCCTTGCTGCAGTGAGCTCACGCCTTGCTGCAGTGAGCTCACGCGTGGCTGCAGTGAGCTCACGCCTTGCTGCAGTGAGCTCACGCCTTGCTGCTGTGTGCTCAGGCCTTGCTGCAGTGAGCTCACGCCCTGCTGCCGTGAGCTCAGGCCTTGCTGCAGTGAGCTCACGCCTTGCTGCAGTGAGCTCACG